AGAATGCAATCAAATTAAGATAGATATGGCTAATTGGAGTACAAAATTATTTGAACTTTCATTAAAAAAATATATTCGAGATGGTACTATATATAATTTTATTCATGTATTAGAAGAAAAAGATGGTAAATCATATTCTAACAACGGAGTTGGTGTATAAGCACATATATCTTGGAAAAAGTAATTTATACATTCTTCCTATATAGAATTATTTGAACTTGAGATATATTAATTATTTTTTTTTTATTGCAGAGCAATAATCTTTTGAGTTATGATCTGTGGTTATGCAGTTTACTTTAATATTTGATTTGTGAACTAAAATAGAAACAAATGTATTGCCAACTCTAAATTTATGCTTTTCATAGTCTACTTTACCTCCAGCAAGATCAAGCCAGTCAGTACCAATAATTAAAGCATATTTATCATAATCACTAACTATTACATCATGTATCATTGTATAATCTGTATCTTTTGTTAATGCTCTATTTGTAAATGTAATCAGTACATTATAACACCATCCATATGAGCTGGCATCAGTGGCAACTCCCTCAAGAGATGGAGGATTGGTTGTATCAATTTTTAATCCAAGATGCCTTGCTAGTTTTTTATTTATTATAGTACACTAAGCACCTTCATCCAATACTGCTTTGGGAATTAAAATATTATTAATTTTACATTCAGCAGTTGTAAGATCATTAGCAGGATGATATACCAAATTAATATCCATAGGTTCATCTAAAGCCATAGAGCTTGCTAATTCTGGTGATAAATTATAAGAAGATAAAAGAGTTTTAAATTCATTAAGAATATTTCTAAGCTTATTTTAAAAAATTTTTTTACAAATCTCAATAACTTTTTGCTCTATCTTTTTATAATTATTGTGAGTCAGCTCAGCTAGTAATGGTTTTTTAACTACTTTTTTTTTTTACAAGATTCATAGCTACAGTGGAATTATTGCAAAGCATCTCTTCAGGTCTATCTTTAACTTCTACATACTTGACATTTTCATTATCCTCATCCTCATAAACTATCTCTTTATAAACTTCCTCTTCCTTATTATTAGGATCTTCTGTTGCTTCTTCATAGATAACCAAGTTTACTCATTTATTCTTGAGTCTAACAACCTTTTTAATAACTCTCTTTCTAACAGGTGGTTTCTTTTTTCTAACAGTTCAGGATGCATTAACTATATTCGTAGTAGGAATAGTAATATTTCCTCTAATTCTTCTTGCAATATTAACAATAGCAAGATCAATTTCCATTAGATCATAAGATCTTTCATCTTCTATATTAAGACCCAATCTGGCATAATCCATTATTTCTTGTAAGGCTTTGGCTTTTTCAGACTTTGGATGAATTATTTTTTCTCCAGGTGATAATTTGCTTAATGGAGTAGGAGTTATTCCAATTCCCATCTGTCTTGCTTGGTCATCCATAAAATTATTCATATAAAATTCCTCAAGTCAGTACTCATGACCAGAGGGTAAAGGTGGAGGTATGTTTTTTTGTAACTGGGGTTGAATTACTGGTTGAGAAGAGGTTTGAAAGTTTTGCTATAACTGGGGTTGAATTACTAGTTGAGAAGGGTTTTGAAAGTTTTGCTAAAACTGAGGTTGTATTATTGGTTGAAATGATGCAAGTTGAGAAATTCCATTGGTATAAATAGAGCCTCCTTTATATGTAAATGTATTAGGTTTTCATTCTAACCACATATTTTTTAGACTTGTAAAGAATGCTAAAATATCTGCTGAAGGTGCTATTGTCATTCGATTGTAAAGCTCTGTTGGTAATTAATTTTTAAGCACTCCTAATACATAGTTATCATTAATTGGTACTCCTAATAAAAATGGTTTAATTCTTGTTTCGTAAGTTTCTGGAGTATCATATGGTGTAAATTTTTCTTGGATTAATTTTTGAGTTGCGATTTGTTGAGTACCGATATTGTTTCTTTGATATTCTGTATTAAGCTATGCTAAAAACAATGCCAGTGTATTGACTGCAACTTCTGCTTGATTATTAAATGGATTGGGTGGTATATATTTTTTTCACATTTTTGAAGCTAAAATCTGGGTTTTTACAGCATTATTAAAGTTCGCCACAACACCTACTGTACTACCATAATTATATAACTGTTTGATTTTATTAACATAGTCTTCTGGAGATTCTTGGCCAATATATTGCGGAATTGGTGCAATTAAGGAAGTTACTACAGCCATTACTTCTTGTATTGTTGCCATGTTTGCTAAAATTGGTGTGTTATTTTGTAATTGAAATATTTGTTGATTTAAATTATTAATTAATTGTTCAGAATTTCAGGTTTGGGCTTTCCACTTACCCCACTTGAGATCAAGCTGAACATTAGCAAGTAATAGGTCATTTTTTAAAGTCTTGCATTTTCTCTTCTATTTGATATATCGATTTCTTGTAAGATTTAAGAGATGTGCAGTTGTCGCTCCATCTGCTTCACAATTTTGTAATTGCTTTTGAGTTCATTTATTCAAAAGACACAATGTAAATTTTTTCTGCTAACAACTCTGATATTTGTCTTTTTTGTATATGGATTGTAATTCGACCATCAAGTTCTCAAGATTTAAATATATTGTGTTGTGTTCTGTGGGCTCCATAAGCTTGGTGAAGAAGGTTATAGTCATTTTGGAACATAGCTAACTAGGTTTGTGAATCAGTTAACTGGGTTTGTAAATTAGCTAACTGGGTTTGTAAATTAGCTAACTGGATTTGCAAATTTGCTACTTGATTTTCTGCATTAATTGCATGAGTATTTACCCATGGATATATATCTAGTACCAATCTTTCAAACCTATTGCTAGCATCCGAAATTATATTAAGATAATCTACAATACTATTTATTGTAGGTGCTATTGTGACTCGGCTTTGAAAATACTGTCTAATATTATTAATCTCTCACTGAATTCTATTATTTTGGATCATAGCTTGATTTTCAGGTAGAGATAATCTAGATGATCCTGGTTGTTGTGCCATCTCTATAGTAACATTAGAATTTTTATACAAAATAAGTATTTTTTTATTAAGCTTGTCTATTTCATTTTGAAAAAATACTAACTGCTTTTCTAAATAAGCTATATAATTTTCTTGGTTTTTTGCCTCTTTAAATACTTTTTCTAATTGTTTTATAAAATTAGAAATTTCTGATCTTAATGGATTTAGCTCCTTATCCTGAATTAAGATTTCTTTTTTAAGATATTTAATATAATCTTCTTTAGAAACTAAATCTTGTTGAAATTTGCAAAATCGATCTTGTATTGTCTGCAAATATTCTTTAGCCTTAACTAATCTATTTGATCTTTTATTATGCTCCATCCCTTAATATATATTGATTCTGAAAAAGTGAGAAAACTTGAAATATCTATTGCATTGCAAAAAATATATTATCAACCTTCTAGTTATCAAAGAACTGTTAAGAATCTTTTTAATGCTTCAGAGTGTAGTGGGTTTGCTTTTACATTAGCTGAAATAGAAGAATGGCTTGAAAAACAATTATTACATTTAATTCATAAACCTCGACCAAAATATATTCCTTGTGCTAGTTTTAATAAAATTACCATTCCTATGGAAGTTATACAAGCTGATATTCTTTATATGCCATATGATAAAGTAGAATCTATAACTTATATATTTTGTCTTACTTGTATAGATGTTGCATCAAGATATAAATGAGCAGAACCAATTGGAACTACTTTGGATATTTTGAATATGGATAAGCCTTCTTTGGAAGGTATACTAACTTCTGCTATAGTTGCTAAAGTTTTTGTTAAAATTTTTAATAATTTAAAATGTCTTCTTACATGGTCTAAATTATTATTAACTGATATGGGTTCAGAGTTTAAAGGAAGCTATAAAAAACTTATGAAAGAACATGATGTTAAAATCCAAAAAGCTAGTTCTAAAAGTAGTATAGGTATAGTTGAAAGATTTAATCGAATTTTAGCTAAAAAATTATTTTGTATTCAAGATGCACAAGAGTTATTGCTACCTTTACCTAAAAGATCAAGAGCCTGGGTTAAGAATCTCCCAATTATTATTAATGATCTTAATAACTCTGTAACTCAGCTTCTTGGTATAACCCCTAATGAAGCTATTAAAAAGAAATTTGTATATGCTAAAGCTTCTAAACCAAAATATGGACCTATAGGTTATAATGAGATTCGATTAATATATAATGATCTTGTTTTATATTTACTTAAGCCTGGTGAATTGGAAGGTAGAAGAAGACATGCTACCAATATAAATTGGTCTCCTCAGATTTATTATATTCATGAATCTCTAGTACAAAAAAATCAATCAGTTTTATATTAGATTGAAGATATTAATAGAAATGGACCAAAACAGTCTTTTGTTAGAGAAGAGCTCCAAGTCATAAAGGATGTGCAATTACCTCCTCAGTAGGTGCTTACAAGTTAGTCCCAAAAGAGAATCAAAGACTCACAATATAAGATGTTCGTGGAATATTTCAAGTTGGTGTTCCTGGTCTTTTATAAATTAAGAAAATCTTCTGCTTCTTTATCAATTTGGGCTTCTTTAACGAAATAATCTTTAGCTAAATTGTAATATAATTTATATAATTCTATAATAGAAAAAAATATCTTTGGGTCTCATCTATAAAATTCTTTATAGTCATCTTTGATTTTATGATATTTTTCTTCATTAGGAAATATTGTTTTAGCTAACTTTAATATATATTCTTCTGGGTCTTCTGCTTGACATAATTTTATAATTCGCTCTTTATAACTTTGCATGAACTTACCTTCTTTTGGCTTTTTATAATAGATGCCTGCTTTAACTACATTAATTAAAGCTTGCTCGACTTCTTGGTATATGGTTTTTGCTTCAGCTAAGGAGCTAACCTTAACAAATACTTGATTGATGTTTTTATTACTAGATGTCATTTGAATATATGATATGTTTTGATTAACTAAAGTTTTGTATATAATACTTTATAAAATCTTTTCTTTAAATAAATATTTTAATATATAAGTAAAAAAAATAATTAGTGAATATACTTGTTCATTTTATCATAATTCTGGTAAAGTTTGTAAAAGAACCTGCATGCGTCCTGAAGGTTGTAGTTATCATTGGAAAGCTAAAAGAAGAGTACCTTGTACTGATTGTGGAAAGCCTACTGGTTCAACTTCTGGTCGATGTCCTTTACATATTAGAGGATACTATGTAGTTCAGTACTATGATAAATTATGAGTCAGGGCTTCAAAAATAGATTCTAAATAGATCAAAACCTAGCCCAAATTTTGCTACCCTTTACTATATATATAACGAAATTTTGTGACCCCTTATTGAAATTTTGTTACCCTTTGGTATATTTGGTTATATTTTTTGTTACCCTTTGTTATATATGCATATATTTTTTGTTACCCTTTTGGTATAATTGGATCATATTTTTTATGCTAATAAGTAGTGAAGAATCAGCTTTAGAATGAATTCTGCTATAATAAATAATTTTGTTATCCTTTTTGTTATAAATTTAGGTAAATGAATGTGTTTTAGATATACAAAAATATTAATATACTGATTGAGATTTTTTATGCATAAATGATATCAAGTAAGATAATATAAATCATTGTTATCTTTTTGATATAAATTTAAGCAAAAGATTGCATTCTAGATATACAAAAAAAATAATATTACTGTGCTAGAATGACAATGCAAACATAAATTTATCATTATTCAAGTGACAATGTGAGTGTAAATTTATTGTCATTTATTCATTCTGATATGAATTTGGGTAAATAAATGTGTTCTAGATAGAAATCATTGATTTGACAACACAAAAGCAAATTTATATGCAAGATTGATACTGGTAACAAAATTGTGCCAGAACTCCCTTTTTGCCTCTACTTCTGCTGCCATGATGTTATGATTTGTTAACTAATCGAACCAGAAAATGTTTGTATATCCAGAATGCAATATCTCAAATATAGGTATTGCTCTTTGTAAAAACTACATTTATAGATAATAATTATGCTAAAAATTAGTAATTGATTAATATTAAAAAAAAAAAAAAAATCTGTTCTAACATATGTTCTGCATTTTAATATCCATCTGCTTGTATAGAGCGAATAATAAGACCTTCTCTATATTCGATATGTGAATGTTTCTGGAACTGCTTTTTAGACCATTGCAATAACCCATGGCATGGGCATATAAAAGTTGAAACCATTATAGAATGACTCATATGTTTTGGATGTAAAACATCCTCATCTTTCATGGTCCAAATTCTATGCTGTTTATCATTGGCATAAAAGTAACATTTATTATACAGTATATCACTTATACAAGTTCTTTTTCATTAGCCTCAAGTTTAGGATTTATAAATATCTTCAGCATATTATCAACAAAGTCTTTGATGTGTATCTTGTAATAAAACATTCTCTTTAACCACTCCTTTCTATATTCTACTACATCTAACTACTTATGTTCATCATAATATACATTTTTTTTTCTTTCATTATACTTATATTCTAATACATGTATATACACTTGACATGTTTTTTCAGAAATTGTATTTTTTGTATGTTCTATTTTTGGTAACAATGCTTTTTCAATATGCATCTTTAGAACTCTAGATGAGGTGACTCTAGAGACTGTTACTACAACTATTCCCAACATCCATTTGAAAAAACTTTATTGTCGAGTAAGCTTGAGACTTTTTTATGTTTTCTTTGATTATAAGAAAAAAGTTTCCCAGACTCTAAATAACAATCACCTCATTTTCAGATACACCTTGCTTTATAATCATTCTTATTCTATACATTTCAGGCAACTTGAAAACTTGTATTTATTTTATTTTGACCTTTCAACAACAACTGTATATACTAGTTTATACTTAATAAGCACAGGTAATCATACATTGGTATATTACTTTTGGTTGATTTTTTTATTAGACATTGTTGATTAACTTCTTCTAAACATATACATAGGATTGCCTTAGTATCAACAGATGGCAAAGAACTTTGTATAGTTGCTAAAGATAGTTGCAATAATGATACATGACTTGATGCTTCAGCTGAAGTATCAAGTAATATATTACTCAATACTTCAGCTAAAACAATAAGTAATATATTACCCAATGTATTATTACTGATTAATATATTATTTAATGTTGTTGCATCAAATAATAGTATATTAATTTCTTTTACAACTTCTTCCTATCTTTTTTTTTTGTTTTTTCTCCAGATTGTAGTTCTTGAAGTTTTTGTATATTCTCTTTTTGCTTGTGCATTAACGATTTCATCATCCTTTAATATGGATTCAGCTTGTATATTAGTATTCTCTAATATGAATTTTACTTGTGCATTGGTGATTTCATATGCTTCCTCTTAAGATGCAAAGTGATTTTTTTTTCTAAAGAAGTTATTTATTTGTTGTTGTTTTTTTGAGATATAAGGCATTGCGACTTAATAAAGTTTAAAAAAATAATTTAAAATTATGTAGAAAAAAAACAAATTCAACATGTAGTTTATATAATAAATGGATGTTTAAACTGAATTCTATGCAGAAGCTTCATGTAATATTCAGTACTTATGAATACTTGATCAATATTTAGTATCTTTTTTATAATTTAAATGGTCTGGCTTCATTTTTTACAATTACTGTCAATTTTCCCAAAACTGATGTATATAGAAAGGTTACTAGATTTCAAAACATTATAGAATATTAGATTTATAGAGCAATATCAGACTTGTAGACTAATTTTTATCAGATTTGACAGGCTATCAATTTTGACAATGTCAGTTTTTGGAGGTTTAATAGTATTAAGTTTATATAGGCTGTATCATCACTTCTAATATATCATATTTTATAAAATAAATTAAAAAGCTTATTAATAATATTAAATCTA